TTCATTGGAGAATTGCTTGTTTAGATCCTCTGCCCACCTTTTGTATTGAGTTGTTTGTTTGTTTGTTTTTGTTATTAAGTTGTATGAGCTATTAAAAATTAAATTTTCAAAATTTATTTAAAATTTAACTTTTCTGTTAATTTTATTTCTATTTAAATGTTTAAATTTTTATTTAAATTAAAAATTACATTTACTTTTATCTTTTTAATGTTTATTAAATTTAAACTTTTATTTAAATTTAAAATCTTTGAAATTTTATTTAAAGTTAAAATTTAAAAATAAAATTAAAATGTTCTCTTATTGGAGGTCTATTTCACCCATGGAACTTCAAGATAGCAATAGGTAGCAGGGTGCACAAAATACAGAGGCAGAGAAGGCTCTGTGTCTTTGTATTTTCCTGGATATGAATCCTAAGTCATTTTTACCATTTCAGAATAATAGCCATTACTCATTACAGGGCTAAGTAAGCACTTTCACACATTATCTCATTTAATCCTCAGCGGGGGGAGTTGAGAGATAGGGATTATAATCCCATTTTATAAACATGGAAACTGAACCCCAAGGGGTGAAATGACACCCAAATTTAACTACATTGTTTGTAATGGGCAGAGCAGAAATTCATGCCAATTTCTTAACTTTATGGCTGCTGTCACTTTCTAGAGGCCACACACAATATGCTAATTATAAAACATACACATATCATAAAATCGAATGGATCTAAAAGTACAATGGTCCAATCCTGTTATTTTATAAGAGGCCAACAAGTCACTGCAACCCAGATCGCCAGGCTTAGAATTTGGTGCTAAGAGGGTCTCATTTGACCATGAGGGGGGTCTGAATCCAAGATTTTTAAGCTGTTCTTTCCCCCAACGTTATTGAACTGATCAATGTGATTGGTTAGACTAAAGTATTTCACCTGTGGCCATGAGGTGTGGTGGGTGAACATGTCAGTCATCTGAATGAGGAGGATGTTTCCTCATTAAAATCACATAGTGTGTGCGTGTATATGTGTATCTGTATGTGTGTCTGTGAGAGAGAGAGGGAGAAAGAGATGGGGAAGAGAGAGAGGGACCGTGTGTCTTCCCATGTACACGTGGGCATTGAGGTTGGGGGGTATGAAGGGACCCTCAAGTCTCACTAAGGACTTACTAACGGTGCTAATGCTATGATTTTTTGACATGAAAGGAACAGCACATTCTTTTCCAAACATTTGTCCACTTAAGCACTATTTTTGTTACTAAGGATTTCTCAGGCCTTGACAAATTTACTCAGTGAACAAGCTGAGCCACCACACTACTTGATAAGACATAATTTAAAGGGAGTCATTAGAAGCAATAGCTCTAAAGGTTAAAGATACAAAGTCAATAAAAATTTGCTGAACTGTATTGAGCAGGAGTAAAAACATTTCAAAACAAATAAGTTATTATGATTAGTGACTAATAAAACACTTGATGACTGTAAGTGGGAGTTTAAAAGGGCAAAAACAAACTTCAGCTTTATTTTTATACAATTAGTTATTTTAAAACTTTAAGTGTGAAATGAGTACATTTATAAACTTAAAAAATAAATTATTGATAAAATATTTACTTCTGGTAAGAATCAAGTGTAAATCAGTGTTAGGGCCTGTGACCCTTAGAACCATCTTCACCAAAGAAGAGGCATGAGTAGGTGTCATTTGGATTAATTACAGTCAAGGGAGAAAAATTTATGCTAATTACTATTCTTTTAATAATCATAAATTATCTCTTTTTAAACTCAGATGCTCACTTGTATCAGTTGTACCTCTGACTTTCCGCCCAAAAAATCAATATTGAAAATATGTTTCTTAGAATAACATCATGTCTTAGCGCATTCTCCTTCACCTCTCTCAGTAGTTAGAAGTGTTCCAAGGAAAATTCAAATTCCTCTGTCAACATAAACAACACAGCATATAACTTCGGCTACTGAAGATGACTGCAAATTCAGCACTGTTTCAACAGGAAGTGGCAATCTAAGAAGTGACACTTTAACATTTTTTAAACAGTCAGTGGCAGCCATAACATCTGAGGGTAACAGCGGTCAGTGTGAAAAATGAATTCTTAGCTAGAGTTCATTTTTAATGAAATGCAAAGCCCCTAGTCCATGTACATTTGGTGAAATCAGGGCAGGGAACTTCATAGTTCTCCATAGTGCATCAGAGACTAGTTTAGACTTGGGGACAAGTTTACAGACTCCGCTATCCTCTGTCCAAGAAAGAAGCATTGTCACTATCAGCTGGGAAGCTCCGCTGGCCTCCCAGAAGGCAGCGTAGAGTTGAGGATGTCAAGACATCGTTTGGTCATTGGAACGGACCACCACATTTATCCTTGAACCATGTAAACCTTCATGGATCCAATACTGTTCCCTTCCGCGCCATGATTATTTTCCCTCCAAGTTATTCTTTTTAAAATTTCCCCTTGTAGCTGGAATTCTTTTTATTGTTGCTGTTAGTTGTTAGTGTTCCATTTGGAGAAAACTATATTTATTTGCATAAAATACATGCTAATTACTGTTTACTGTTACTAATTGTGCAATTACTGATTACTGTTTGAGCAATTTGTGCAAATCGTAAAAGATACAAGCACCATGAGAGCCATCTACTCACCTCCTTAGAGGTCACACTGCTCCAAAAAAATAAAAATAGCTTTTCTGTGTCATGGCCACCACATCTGATGTCGGTTGCCAAAACAACTTTTTATCCTTACTACGAAAGCTAAGTAATTGAGGAAATGCAATTTTGATAACAGACACATGGTTAAGCAAGGGACTCACACCTTTTTTTTTTTTACATTTTTTATTGATTCATAATCATTTTACAGTGTTGTGTCAAATTCCAGTGTTCAGCACAATTTTTCAGTCATTCATGGACATATACACACACCTTTTTTACTTTATTATTTCTTACTAGTAATGGATTTCTATCTCTAACTTGTTCCCTTAAAGTTTTATTTCACTTACAGGGGAAAACATAAGCACAACTTAACAAATCAGTAATGAAGAATTTTCAAGAGTGAGCGTGTGTTCCTCTTGCAGAGAAAAAAAGAAAGCAATCAAAGTTATTTAAATAAAAAGAGAGAGAAAAGAGGGCAAGGAATCACAAAAAAGGTACCTAAAGACAAGGCAGGATGGAAGCTGATACTAAAAAATGCCCTTTTTAATGAAATCGACATTGTAATTTTATTCGTTCAAAAACGGCACTATTTAAAGGCAACCTGGCAAAGGCAAAACTCAGCTTAGGGGCAAAGGCAGGCTCTTTTGAGGAATGAGTGGGGCTGGAGTCACGTGCCCACAGCAGGAACATGCTGGACAGTCCTGCTATGGGGGGAGAGACTTCCAAATCACCTCTCCAAACAGCAGCTTCCAACTGCTCATGATGGTGAAGGGCTAGGCCACTTGGAAACCCAGGCTGCCTGCTGTGAGCAGACAAACTGTGGAGTGCTGCTGCAAGCTCAGGCTGGTCATTGAGAACAGAGCAGCAGGTAATGCCCCCGCCTTTCCCACTTTGTTTCCCGGGATCGCCTCGTGAAATACAGAAGAATAAACTGTGGCAAGACTTTAAAAGGAAGGTAAGTTCTGTGCCAAGAGAGCATCACGGGGGGTCTGCATGAGACTGGGAGTCAAGGATGGATCATCTGAGAAGTGACCATTAAGCAGAGACCTAAAGAATAAACAGGAATGAATTAGGTGAAGAATGGAGAAAGGAACTTTCCAGGTGGTGGGAAGAGCATGTGTAAAGACCCTGTGAACTGAAGGAAAGAGAGTGTGGTGAGGCGCTGGGGAGGCAGAGAGGGAAGGAGAGAAGAGCCAGTATTTATTAAAGGCTTCCTTTATACCAGGTATTGATCTAAGCCCTATCTATCCATCAAATCTCTTAATCCTTAGAAAAACTCTGTGATGTGCTTACCAAAGGGGAAAGAGGGGTGGGGAGGACAAATTCAGAGTATGAGATTAATAGATGCCAACTACTATGCATAAAATAGACAAGCAATAAGGATCTACTGCATAACAACAGGGAATTATATTCAATATCCTGGAATAATCTATAACGGAAAATAATCTAAAATATATATATATAGCTGAATCCTTACTGTACACCTGAAACTAGCACAATATTATAAATCACTATACTTCAATAAAACAATGAATCTCAATGATGGAGATACTATTATTTTCCCATTTTAAAGGTGAATAAACTGAGGCAGAGGGAG